AATATTTTTGCCATAAATCCCTATATTTTTATTTTCCTTTTTTTTTGGATTTTTAAGATGCCCCCGAATTTTCCAATACTTTTTTAAGCTTATTTGGATTGTTAAGGTTGTTTTTTTTGTTTTATTTTGATTTTTAATACTTTTAAATTTTTTGAAAATTTTCTCAATTTTTTTTTTTCAATTTATTGAGGGCTTTTTAGTCCTGTGAAGGGGGCGAGTTCCCTGGTCGAGACGAGTCTCAGTACACTGGTCCATAGAAAATCTCCCTAAATAGTTTCATTTAGAGAATGAAACATGTAACTTTGTTTGGACTATCAATTCCTGGTAAAAAAATGGTATGTCCTGAGCTCTTTTATCTGCTTGAGATGTATTATTGGCATTGTATGTTGATTTCAGAAGACTATTGGTTTTGTAGAAATCCTGGCCATTATCTTCGAAACAGAAAGTTATGTGAGACATTCATGGAACTAAAAGGCATGGAGGCTTGGGCATGTGGTGCGCACTGCATCTTGATGAGTGAATGAAACTATGGATGGCTACTTATATCTGAAGCATGGGTTCACTTGTGTCTTGTTTGGATTTTTTTTTTATTTCCTTTCTTTATTGAAATTGCTTTATCATTGGAACAATAGTAAGCTTCTTTCACCTTATAGACATCCTGATATCTGGTCTATGTTTTTGATGGTTATCCACATTGGCTGTTTGCTGAGTACTTTGGTGGTTACTGATGGTTGTATGCAGTATTAGAGGCTTTTCTGTTTGGTGTTTGCTTGACACGGACTTTCATGCATCATTTTTATTTATCTCTGGGGTTGGTCTATTGATTGGTGTAACCGTAGAGTTCGCTGTGGGCATTATTAGTTCCCTTTCTTTTGTGAGGATTCACAAACCATATTTCTGTTTTTTTTTTAATGTTATTTCTGATGCTGTTTATGACATAAAAAATCTTGGTTCACCATGTTTTTTTTTTCCATATTTGTACACTATTTGTGGACTGACCTTATTCTGAATTATCAGCAGCACGGTCCATTTCCATTGAAGCTGTAAAAATGGACATAGATAAAATAGATGGGCTGAGTCGGAGTGACTCTATTGAAGAATTGGAGTCGGACATTGAAATGATGGACATAGAAAGAGCCTTTTCTTTTGCTGAGACCTCGAGTGCCAAGGAGTCTGATAGTCATTGTCTGGACCCTGCTACTAGTCAGGAACTTCTCCTGAAGTTTTGTACAGATGCCTCATCTTCCTTTTTTAAGGAATGGGGCTTGATAAGCCACCAATTGAACTCGTATAATGATTTTGTGGCTTATGGCATTCATGAGGCCATCAGATCCCTGGGAGAGTTCCATGTGGATCCAGAATACAATCCCTCCTTTAAAGGGTCTGGCTGGAAATATGCCTCAGTTAAATTTGAAAATGTCAGTGTGGATAGGCCTACATACATGGACCAGCATGGAGAAATATGTGAGCTGAAGCCAAAACAAGCACGTCTTCAGCACATCACGTATTCATCTCGTGTGACAGCTGATGTTACTACAAAGGTATGAACTTCACCCTTTTCTATCTTGTTGTACTGGCTATAAGATTTTTGTTTCTTTTTATTCTACAGAGGGTTTTTGATAGTTAATTTCATTAATTTGAAATATCAGTGAACATGACCTTATGAAGAGGGGCACCCCTTTTCCTTGTTATTTATATAGTATATATAAAGAATGTTAAAAAATTTTCTCCACCTTTTGTACTTTTGTTTTATATGCAATACAAATGATAACATCTTCCAAAAAAAGTAGTCGAGTTCAACTTTGAACATAGTTTCAAAAGCGCTAGGCGGGTCCTGGGCGGCCCTAGGGGGTCTAGGCCGCTCAGCGCCTAGGCGGGCGCCCTGAACCTGGGCGGCCCAGTTGAATCCAAATAAGGATTCTGACATTCTGCAGTTATGTCAGTATTAGTTATATGTATTGCAGTGCATAATTCAAATTATACTACATATTATTTAGTATTTAGCATACACTCCATAAGCATAACCATAATCCATAAGTCCGTTCATACTCCATATCCAAATTAAAACTTAAAATTTTTCAACCAACCAATTTATCAAGCCAAGTTATCAAACAGTATCACACCAGCATTGCAGTACACCACCATGAGGAAGAAAACAATCTAGTTTTAAGTAACTTTGAGTCCCCCTTCGATCCTAAAAAATTCACCACAATCTAGTTTTTGGGGGGCTTTCTCTCTCTAAATTTGGCTCCAACAAGTTTTAGGTTTCAAATGAACCTAAAACCCTAATTTTTGGCCCTTAAAAAGATGAAAAATGCTCTCACCGAATGGTTTTTCTGCCCCTGGGCAGGGCGCAGGCCCTGGGCGGCCGCCCAGGGCTGGGCGATGCGCCCAGGCGTTCTTGACCGCCTAGGCGCTGGGCAGTCCGCTTTTTGAATCACTGACTTGGAAATGGGGCTGCTACTATGGCTATTGTAGCAGCAGATAATGAATCTTGAAATTAGACCAGGCTATGGGCAACGATAGACAACAATGGATTCTCTTATGGGACAAGGCTTAAGACCAGTGAACTAAGAGATATCTCACTGGTGCAAAAATGGAAGCATAGTTTCCTGTAAAATTAAAGGGCAGCACTAAGTGTTTATTTTGCTTCTCATCATATGAAGCAAAAGTTCAGGGACTTAATGCCAGATGGTTGAAGATGTTCCTTGTAATAATCTTGTCAATAACGGACTGCTGCAACCCAATTGTTAGAACTTTACAAAGGACTAGAACACCCCAAATGGAATGACCTGGTGAGCTGCCTGCATATCACTCTCCTAGAGAGCTGATACTTTTTGTATGACTAAGAAGATGAATATTTATCTATACACCAGTTAACTCCCATTACTTGGGATGCGGGTTACTTCTAGGGCTCTTAAAAGCCTAACCAGATCAACAATCCCCGCATCCTTAGATTTGTGCAAAATTTTAAACACCAGACTAAGCTCCCACCATGCTACTCGAAGTAATATTCCACTGTAACCTCCAGATCATGCAAAAACCTTTTTAGAACTAGAAAGGTTTTTCTCCTTCTCCCCTGTGAGCAATCTTACTCTTTCTGTCATCTACTTAGTAATTTCTCCCTCTCCCCCGCGAGCATTCTTGCTCTTTCTGTACATACAATGTAAATATTTTTTTTATACAATAGTTAACATTCTCAAAAAAAGAAAAAGAAAGCAAGACTTCAAAGTATCTGTTCCATACCAGCGGCTTATCTGGAAACACAGTCTGCTGCCATCCCCTATGCCAAAGGTAATCCTGCATTATTGAAGAATGCTACAAGATCTAGTGGTTATCTTCTGGTTTTCCCCAAAACGAGCACGAAAATGGTCAGTCACACTCAAAAGTTTTGAAAAATCATTTAGCTCATGATTTCATAACCTTTGGTGAGTGATTTTGTTAACAGTTTCAAAAACAAAATGGTGAGTGATTTCAATAATCTTTGGTGAGCCACGCGTATTACACAGTTCAGATGCATGATAGATCTGACGACGTTATTTTTGAATAAAAATATGCAGTTTTCTAACCTTGATGTATTTTTAGAACCTCGATTCTGATCAAGTTTGGGGAAGAACCGTCATTGCCACAAAGGCCTGTCCTATGTGGTGTAAGCCCCTTCTAATGTCATGCCCATGTGAAAAATGTGTACTCCCTCTTCCATCTGTCTGACATTCTTAATCCAAATTTGTCTTTATTTCCTTAACTCGTGCATCAATGCTAGTAAAAATTGGGCCAGAATGGTCCATGCATTAAAGGCATCAAACTCTTTGAATTTTTGATAGCTTATTTTTTCTTTGACAAATGTCCCCTTGCTGCTGCCTGTTATGCATATTAGGTTAATTTGAGAAGTGATTGAAGACAATGTTTCTTTCATTAACCAACCAAGTTCTCGATATTGTAATCTACTGTTTGTTCCTTCTCATTAAGATATAAAATGATTATCGATTCTGATTTAGATCAATTTCTCATCTGGTTTATTGGTGTACATTCCCCCTTTGACAGGTTTATCTCAGAGAAATTAAGAAAACTGATAAATACAAAACTGGTAGGGAGCAATATGTTGATGTCAATGTGATTAGTGAAACTAAAGAAAAAGATGTGCTAGTGGGTCGGATCCCTGTGATGGTGAAGTCCAATTTGTGCTACCTTCATGGGCTTAAACCTGAAGTGCTGATTAGGCAAGGAGAATGCCCTTTGGATTTTGGTGGTTACTTTCTGGTCAAGGGTGCAGAAAAGGTTGCTCTGCTCCCATATGCATTGTCATCTACTAGTTTGTGATTTTTGTTAAGTTCCTGTTTTAGTTAATTATGATCTTTCATTGTTTTTGTATATTGAGAATTTCATGCATATTTAGTGCTTTTAGAAGATGCCTTGTTTTATCTACACATTTACTTCAACGTTTATATAATGAAATTATTAGCTCTCATATTTCATTTGCATTTGCTTTGCAGATCCTTTAGATATGCTGTTTTTGTATTTGCACAATGTTGCATCACTGAGTGATTTGGTTCTGCATGAGGCACACATTATGACTTATATTAGTTTTATTGTACTTCATAATGTTTTGAGTAATTAAAGCGTGCTGATCACGACTATTCACATAATTTGTGTATATGCAATGCCCCTTTTACCTGTTCTATTTCTTACTGGACCCTGCATGCTACTTTTCTTGACGTTGTGGTAGAGCTTATACATACCCCGCAATCTGTATGCTTGTGCTTATTTGGGATATTTATTTGTCCATAAGCTTGCAGTAGTGCACAATTGCTGATGTCAGTGAATCATTAGGAAAAAAAGAAAACAAGGAAAGAAGAAGCAGAAGATATTACCATGTAAGTATTACATATTGGGTGGATATCTGCATCTAATAAAAAAACTCACAGATCTGTACAGGAGATGGATGTAGGTGTGCATGTTGATGCAGGAATGTGAGATGGATGTAGGTGTGCATGTTGATGCAGGAATGTGTTATATAAAAAAAGGTTGATGGACGCTTGCATCTTTCATGTGGAAAAAGGTGTTGGTTGGCATTCTAAAAGCCCGGAAAATTTGATTATTGATCTTCGAAGCCAGAATAGTAGTGCAAGTAGAAATTGGAGCGTTAAAGTAAGAAAAGGTAACATATTTTGAATAGGATTAGCTGGGGACTGCTGTAGCAGGAGCAGACCTCTTGAGGATAATCACCTCTTGAGGATAATCTGGTTCTTAAGTATTTGTATAGCACCATATACATCTATCAAATGTGTACGGCACTGGGGCTCCCTATTTTCAAGCCATTCTATGTAAACCTCCTCTATTTATATTTATATAAATTGCTTCCAACATTTACAAGCAGCTGGTCATCTCAACAATTTTCCACCCTCACATCCTTATTAAACCTAAGACATCATGCATCTATCTCCATGAAGTTGGAATACTTATTATGGTTGTATGCATGTGAAATTGGTTCTAATGCTTGGGGATGTTTCTACAACATTGTGTCTCTCTTTTCTACACTTCTAGGCAAGTTTGTTTTTCTCTTTTTATCAATTGGCTAGGCAATTTTGTGTTCTATCGAAGTGTGTGTGTTTGTTAGCCTGTACTCCTGTAGCATCATGATCACCTGCGACATTTGTTTTCTAGAACGGTAAAGAATATGGAATGGTTTCTGAGGCTAGGGTCCAGCGGTCTGGTTCACTTGAGGAAGGTTGAGGGTTCGAAAGTTTGTCCCAAAAGCTAACAAGACTAATGTACCCCTTTTTCCTAGCCAAAAAAGAAAAAATAATATGGAATTCTTTGTCTGTCCCTTTATTTTCTCTAGAACTGAGGTTGAGATGGCTTATATTAAAGTGATTACCTAATTCATGTTCATGCATGCTATCTTATTCCATTCCTATGTAATTATTGAATACTACTCTTCTACTGCTATTGTGGTTCTTTCTTTTCCTTTTTAGTTTCTGCCTGCACAAGATGTAGAGTGCAAATTATTTTATAATAAATTTCTTGAAGAAACACTTTTTTTCCCCCTAATCATACTTTTCGCATTGCAGATCTTTATTGCACAGGAAAACATGTGCTTAAGAAGACTCTGGGTGTCCAAGACACCAAGCTGGTCAGTCTTATACAGACATGGGAATTCAAAGCAGAAAAGGGTGGATGTTAGGATTGTAGAAAGTCAGAAGGGAGACACTCTGAGCGGGGGAAAAGTAATTAACATTTATTTTCAGTATGCCTCTGTTCCAATCTGGATTATGTTTTTTGCGCTTGGTGCTTTATCAGATAAGGAAATTGTCCAGATGATTGACCTTGATCCGAGTGATACAAACTTGGCTTATATACTTCTCTCAACAATCTATGATGCTGATGAGAAGTGTGAGGGCTTTCGTCAAGGTAAAAACTCCATTGAATATTTAGATAGAGAGATCCAAAGTGCGAAATTCCCTCCCAAGGAGTCTGTGGAAGAATGTATTGATTCTCTCTTGTTTCCTTCTCTTCGTGAGCGTAAGCAAAAGGCTTTATATCTGGGATACATGGTAAAATGCCTTCTGCTATCCTATTTTGGACGAAGGAAAGTTGACAATAAGGATGATTTTAGAAATAAGAGGCTGGGTTTAGCTGCAGAGTTGATTGAAAAGGAGATGCTGGCCCACATCAAGAATGCTGGAAGACGTATGGTTAAAGCTATCCAAAGAGATCTATCTGCTGATCGTATTTTGAAACCGATTGAGTGCTATTTTGATGGCTCAATTGTCACAAATGGACTTGCCAGAGCTTTTTCGACAGGAAACTGGTGTCATCCTTTCAAAGTTTCTGAAAGAATATCGGGTGTTGTGGCCACCTTGAAGAGAACCAATCCACTCCAAACCATGGCTCATATGAGGCAGACTCGTCTACAAGTCCAATATACTGGCAACATTGGGAATGCACGATATCCGTAAGTTTAAGGATGGAATTTCATTCTACTTAAAATATGATTTTATCATCATATAGTTTGATAAGCAAGTTTTTTTTCCCTGAGGAATGCTTGCTTTTTCCACAAAAACAAGATTGTGCGAACGTGCATGCATGTAGGGTTTTATTAAGATTCACCGCATATGGTGTTTACTCTTAGATTCACACATTTTATTTGGACAATTATACCTCTCTTTTGGGTTAAAAATTACAAAAAATGACCAGCATCCTGTCCCCACCTAAGGTACTTTTCATTTTGTTGCCAAGATCCTACTGTACAGTCAATTAAGGATCATGTTCCCCCCAAGCACAGGCTGCCCACCCTGTACCCCACCTTTTCATCATGTTGCCAAGGTTCTCCTTACCATACAGTCAATTGGGCTCACAACTCATTTTGGACACTTTCACTCAGTGTTTTAAAAAGTGCTAGGTGGGTCCTCGGTGGCCTGGGTGGTCCAGGCTGCTCAGTGCCTAGGGGGCCGCCTAGGGGGCCACTCAGTGCCTAGGGGGCCGCCTAAGGGGCCGCTCAGTGCCTAGGGGGCCGCTCAGTGCCTAGGGGGCCGCTCAATGCCTAGGGGGCAGCCCTGTCGAATCCAAAAAAGATACCCAGTCAAAGATGCTTCTAAGGACTCAAAATCTTCTAAAAAACCCCCCAATAGATTTATAAAACATCAAAAATTAAATCTAATATCAATGGGTTTTGATCAATTTTTGTCAACTTTGAAAAAAAAAATTTCCGCCTCTGGGTAGGGCGCCCGCCCAAGGACTGCCGGCCAGATTGGCCGCCTAGGCCTGGGCGATGCGCACAGGCCTTCTGGACCGCCTAGGCGCTAGGCGGTCTGCTTTTTGAGTCACTGCTTTCACCATTCCCCACTCTCCAAGTAACGGTTAGACCTCTCTTTTCTCTCTAACCAACCCCACAAATTTTGACCTCTCCAAAAAATATCTGCTCATACTCTCGGCTCACCTTCTAGCCTAAACCCATTGTCCTGGGCAACCTAGAAATAGAGGTTTCCAGCAAAACCCTATGAGAAAACAATTATTTTACAACAAAACTAGAATTTCGGCCAACCTTACCCTAACTCATATCAAAACCTCGCAATTTTCTACAAAACTCAAATTTGCAAAGATCAAGAAAGAGAAAGAATCCAAGCTTCATAGGGAGACCCATGCTGCAATTATCAATTTTTTTGGAGAAATACACCTCTCCTTCTGATTCACACAGAGTCCCTAAAAAAGAAGAGAATGGCTGGATATTCAAAAGTGCCTCGTTTCTCCATAGGAATGAGTTAGCGAAGGGTTTAAGCGATTGTTGCTTAAAGCACAAATTAGCGGTGATTGAGATGCTGGGGCTGCTTTGCGCCTCCACTGGCTATGAGCAAAGCCGCTTCGCTTTCATTAAGTTCACTAAGGTTCTGAAAGAAAGCTAAGCAGCAAGCTTCCGAAGCTAATAGCACCGCTTCGGTAGTTTCTCATCTTTGCCTCCGCCCAGTCAGCAAGCTAGAGTTTCCCTGCCCGTGTGAGCGTCTAATCCTTCCTTCCCCATCCATACACAGAGCTGCGTCTGCTACTTCTTTCATTATTTCGGTAAGGACAGAGTGGTCTCTACTTAAACTGCAAAGTCTGGCCAAGTTTCTGGCCAAAACGGCTGTTTTCATCACAAGAAGAAGCAATATTTGAACACCTCTCCTTTACCTGAACCTGCATAATTGAAACTCCCGTTGTTTTGGGAGCATAAGGCTTAGATAAAGCTAAAATAAAGAAAAAGGCTTGAGAAAGGAGCTTTGAATCCTCTTTCTCAGACTAAACAGCCTGGTTGTTGTGCTTGTGGGACAGATTCCGGCCAAGGAGGGTGGTCTTCTTGTTAGTGTCTCAGATTCTGATGTCGTCACCGTCGCACTTGATGGAGTTGAGGCATTTCGTTTTGGGGAGAAAGGTGATGTCTATGGGTGTTTTGGACTTTTGAAATGGCAGAATGTGCCAAAAGATTGGAAGATTTTGGTGACATGGAAGTTAGCGAGTGGAAGGAAAATTTCAACAAAATGGAACTTGGCACAATAAAGAAAGTTATCAGGAAAGGGCATAATCTTGCAAAAATATTTTGCCCCCCCATGGTGTGGGAGGGAGGTCCTTGACAACATAATGAAAAGATGGGGATTAGGTTGGGCAGCCAGTGGCCCTTAAATTTGTTTGTTTTTGTTTTAGTATTTTTGGGGGTAGGGAGTGGGAGGCGGGGGGGGGGGGGGGCACTTTTTGTGGGGAGGACCGGGTCATTTTCACTGGATACTTTGGTCATTTCAGATAACAAAAATTTCAAATTACCAATCAATGGTCATGATTGCCTGCTCTCTTTGGTCCACTAATAACACAACTTGTGAAGCACTTCAATGCTATTAACATCAATGTCAAAATTATACTCAAACCCTATTTAGAGTAAATGTTTTTGTTGAACTATAAGGGTGTTCTCCTTAAACAATGAATGTTAATAAAACCCTATAAACACACTCATCCTGGGATGAATACCAGATTGTGAGCTGTAGTCCAAATGCGACAGTAGAGATTGAGACAATTCATATTAATTTCACTTCATATGTCCTGAGTTGGCTTTAGGAAAATGAGTGGATTCTTTACTCTGTGATGCATTGCCCTTGGATGTGAAGACTTCCCATGCCCAGCAAGTCATACCCTGATTTCCATCCTTCAAAAAGTTCTGTTGTAAAAACTCACAGTGTGTTTGTGTGCACACTCACGTGTGTGCATGGTGCTACTCATTGAGTGTGAAGGTGCGTGCGTGTGTTTCAAGTCCACTCAAGCCAATCTGGAATCCTTCCCCTTTGGTTTCCAAGCTGTCTACCAAACAGCATGTGCTAGCTTCTTGACACCCATAATCCATGCCACCTTTTCTTCAGAATTCACATGTTCTGAGTTTTGTGTTTCTAATGATTTAAAAGAAAAAGTTGTGGTTTCTATGCATCTGAAGGTGAGACACTTGGGATGTCTAACATTTCAGAGTCATTTGTTGTACAGTGCACTCTATTTAAGTGACATACTATTGAATGCTTTGATGGTGTGGCGATCCTAGTTTCCTAATACCATTTTTCTGCATGCAGGAATCCTTCATACTGGGGAAAGGTGTGCTTCTTGTCAACTCCTGATGGGGAAAATTGTGGTCTTGTGAAAAATTTGGCTGCTACGGGCCTCGTGAGTACCAACTTAAGGGAGCCCCTTTTGGACAAGTTGACTCGCTGTGGAATGGATAAGCTGGACCGTGTTTCACCACCTTCATTGAGTGGAAAGGATAAAGTTTTTCTCAATGGGGAATGGGTTGGACTTTGTGAGGATTCTTCTAGATTTGTATCAGAACTACGGAATATGCGTCGCAATAAGCTCATTCATCATCAGGTTTGGTTTTAAGCTCACAATTTTGAGCTTTTGCACTGATTACTAAGCTATATGGATTCTACCCTGCCTTTTATGGAGTTTTGTGTGCTCAACTGTTTTACCAGAGTCTAATGTTCGATACTAGACATTGTCTGTTTAGTTAGAAACATATTGTGGAGAATTCTGCTATTATATCTGTTGCCTTGCTTTTATTTATGATGGCAACAAGGAAGCACAAAATTTTTGCTACATAAAATAATTTATTGTAGCTTGAGGTTCAAGTCCTTGGATAATTTTATTCTCAAATGAGACAAACGGGGAAGCCATCTGAAAGAGTTTAGCCTGATCATTGGCCAGCTTTATCTCCTCCTACAGTGATTCTTCTCTTTTGTTTAGAAGCTGAGTTTTGTTTGACATGGCGTAGGCAGGAGTAATGATTAGCCCGCCTACAGTCTATCTTTAATAAAATAAATAAATAAAGGATTTAACTTTTTTCGAGGTTTATAGGACAAACTTCAAGGGTTTGAACCTTGACCTCCCTCACCACACTGATTTGTCTACCACTAAGCCGAAGCGTAAGGGACAACCTACAAGGCATCGTAGGAAACCTCATTTCGAGGAAAGCTGTTTGGTGTACTGCGCCCATGCTAAAGTTCCTTGGGAATCGTATTTACGGTCCATAATGTAGTCTTCTTTAATCTATCTTTTTTGATATTGGCATGCAATGCTGTGGATCACAGTTTAGCTTTGGCACTTCTGTTTGAGGAATGTCCTAATAGTAAAGCTGTGATGCAAATACATGTACAGTGAGTGTCGAATATGGAGCCACAAATGTGAGCATATTATATTTGTTAGTCTAAATTCTGTCTGTATACCATACTAAAAAAATAACTGGCAGAATTATTCCAAAATTCTTGAGGATATTGATACCCAAACACAATCGGCAATTGACGATCTGTGTGATCGTAGAGGAGCTTTTAATCTTAACGTTTGTCTTATCAATAATGAGGGGCAAAAAGCCAAAAACGTAGTGCATAATTCTCATCACCTAGTTGAGTGGATTTATCTCCAAGTTGGGGGAAGGGGTGGGATGAAGGGAAAACTCTTGACATATATGTTATATATTCCTTGGTAACCATGTTTCTTGTTTTTTTTTTCCAACTTCAATTACTTAGTGAGATGTAGAGCAAATTCAGTGATTGACATGCCATAATCATTTGGTGTACTGCACCCATGCTAAAGTTCCCTTGGGAACAGTATTTTACGGTCCATAATGTTGTCGCCTTTAATCTATCTTGTTTGATATTGGCATGTAATGCTGTGGATCGCAGTTTAGCTTTGGCACTTCTGTTTGAGCGATGTCCTTATATTAAAGCTGTGATGCAAATACATGTACAGTGAGCGTTGAATGTGGAGCCACAAATGTAAGCATATTATATTTGTTAGTCTAAATTCTGTTCGTATACCATACTAAAAAAATAACTGGCAGAATTATTCCAAAATTCTTGAGGATATTGATACCCAAACACAATCAGCAATTGACGATCTGTGTGATTGTAGAGGAGTTTTTTATCTTAATGTATGTCTTATCAATAATGAGGGGCAAAAAGCCAAAAAACATAGTGCATAATTCTCATCACTTATTTGAGTGAATTTATCTCCAGGTTGGGGGAAGGGGTGAGATGAAGGGAAATAAGGGGTACTCTTGATATATATGTTATATATTCCTTGGTAACCATGTTTCTTGTTTTTTTTTTCAATTTCAATTACTTAGGGACATGTATAGCAAATTCAGTAATTGACATGCCATACTCATTTGACTCTCTATCTCCATATACTCCCTTTGATTCATTTTGGTAACTGGTACCTTAGTATGAATGATGTCTATTCTGCTTGGACATTTGACAAGCCTATTCAACTCTTTAGTTACTCGGGTGAATGATGTCTATGCTGCTTGGATATTTGACAAGCCTATTCATTTCTTTCGTTGTGTTTGATATTTCATTATTTGCTTATTCAACTTTTCAGTTACGCACGAACTTGTCAGAGCAGGATGTCCAGTAACTCCAGTTTATAGAAATAACTTATTGCTATCCTGTTACTGATACATGAGTCACTAAAAAGTGTAGTACTAGAGTCCCGACCACCCTAGGGATTGATCGCTGGACCACTTGAAGGAGAAAACAACATCCTACCAGAGCGCACCTTTGACATTGATGTATGAAATCGGCATTCTTTATATATATAAGGTAATAGAAAAATTGGGAAACCCAAGACTCACGCTGCCAGCATGATGCTTTGATTTAGGTGAACAGTTCTTGGAACTTACATTATATGTACAATAATATAATCCTTAATACTAGTTGTACATGACATGTTGGGAAGTACTGGCATTTTAGCCTCACTTACTTGATAACTAGACAGACTCTTACACACGCCCATGTAACACAGCTTTCAACCAAAAGTACCTTCCAGATGTCCTAGCTGTTCTCAAGACCAAATAACCAAAACCTCCCTCTCTATGGTTTGGCCCCACACTCCATCTTGCAGAAAGCGACTTGTTGCCCCTTTCATAGTTACCATTTTCTTCCGAAGGTTTTTAGATGGTTATGCCTGGAAATTCTCGGTTGTGTATTCCAAATGAAAGGAGAAACATATGGAATGAATTAGATCGTGTTGCTCCCATGCTACCCCTCTCGTGGTGCATTGGTGGTGACTTCAATGTCACAAGGTGGTCCTACAAGAGGAACAAACATAGAAGAATCACATCCACCATGCTGAACAAACTCATAGATAATCCGCTTAATGGGTTGGTGTTTACCTGGTCAAACCACTCAGCTAACCCTACTCTTTCCAAGCTGGACCATTTCCTCACCTCCATAAAAAAGTGATCAAAGTGTTCCTTGGCACCCACTTTTGGGTCCTCCCTGAACTTACCTTCAACCACAAACCAATTATCACCTTTCAGGTTTCAATGTTCCTGGCTTGGATGGACTCAACTCCTCCAACCACTCTGTTTGAACTCCATCACGATTGAGGGAGGAAGGAAACCAGGAAGCAGACGCCCTAGCTAAAGAAGCGGCATCAATGGACGGATCTTAGAAGCTTCTTTGTTGGTCTTTTTTGGATTTTTTGGATCAGTTTCTTTTTCTAGGTTGCTGTCCCTATACTGTAACCTTCAAAACGAAGGTTTTTGGATTGCGCTTTTTGTTTTTTCTTTCTCCCCTATAGCATCTGCCCTTGTGGATTGCCTAGGTTTCTTGTATCCATCTTTTTACATAATTTAAGGTAACATTATATATAAAAAAGTTCCTGGTTTGACGATGCGAGCTTCACTCGCTTGGTCCTGCAGTGGTGGAACTCCTACGCTGTATAGTGATGGGCTGGCTTCTGTCTTCAAATGAAGTTGCAGGTGCTCAAGGCATCACTCAAACATTGGAGCAGGCAGCTGCATGGTGATTTCCAGCTCTCAAAGGAGGTCATTTGAGAGCAATTAATGGACTATATACCCATACCCTTGAGGAATGTAGAGACATGTCCTGATAGGTAACGGATTAAAGAGCCAGAGCGAAAGTGTAAACACCAAACCATCATAGAAAAGGAGGAGATATTCTGGTATCAATGGTCCAGAATTAAATGGTTAAAATAAAGTGATTGGAATACCAAATTCTTCCATAAGATAACCAATTGTAAGTTCCATGACAATACCATCACCTAGGTTAGGGTACGAAACTTCCCCTATAGCCAGCCCCACGAAGTAGAGTATGCCATTGTCAAATTTTTCACAAAAGTTTTCTCTATTTAGAGGGCCAAATATGAGATTAACTGAACTTGCCTTTTCTCTCTTCCCAAAGAGCTGGCTTTTGGTTCGAACACCTATTTATCAACAAAACCCTGAAGGCCGTCAAGGATCTCTGCTAGTGGCGCTGTTCAAACAGTTTTGGGAAGCCTCGAGCTCGGCTACACTCTCCTCCAACAAGTTTCACCATAGAGGCGGAGTACGCAAAGGCATGAATGCAACCCACCTTGCTCTAGTCCCTATAAAAGGTGTCGAGGGTCTAAACGATTTCAGCGAATGAGGCTTCTTAATAGACAAACTCCTTTGCAAGTTGCTTGCATCTCGCTCAAGGGAAGTTCTTAAATGGGTCATCTGCCTAACCAAGGATAGACAGATCTTTGTTGGGGCCCTTGTGGCTCACAAATGCATCCACATGGCACCTCGTTAAGAATCCAGGGGTAGTGGGCAAATTACATTGGGAAAAAGCCTACAACCATGTAAAGTGGACCCGGAACATGGGATTTGGTAATAGTTGAGACAATGGATGCAAGGGTGTATAACAGTGGCCTACCTTTCTATCCTCATCAATGTCTACTTTAAGGGGTATTCTCCATCCTCAAGGGCTCTCCAGCAGAAAGGCCCTCTATCCCCCTTCCTCTTTGCAATGGTGGTTGAGTTTTTCGTCAGGACAGATTGTATCAACAAGGCCTCTTGGAAGGTTTACAAGTGAGCAACCGGAGCGGTAATATCCCACTCTCAGTATGCCTGCAACACACTCATTTTCTACTACACAATGCAGCAATAAGTGAACACCCTGTGGCTTTACCTAAGATACCTAGAGGTAGCTACATGACTTGAGATCAATTTGGGAAAATAAAAAATCACAAGTATTTCCACAGCTTATCATACCTTGCCCTTGCAAAAAGATTGCGCTGTGGTGTAGAACCCTTGCCCACAAAGTACCTAAGCCTACCACTCTAATTGTCAAACCCTGGAAGCAATTGTGGGACCTTATAGAGGAAGTATTTGATTGATATTAGCAGCCTGGAAAGAAAGGTTTCTCTCATTGGCTGGTCACATTACCCTGATCAAGGTCGCCCTCTCAAATGTCCCTATCTATCAAATGTCCCTTTTTCAGATGCCTGCATCCATAGCTTTGCAATTAGAGAGATTAATTAGGAAAGGCACATGTTCCAAGTGGTAGCCTGGGATGCCATCTGCCTTCCTGAATTGCAGGGGGGGTCTAGGCATCCAAAAAAATTGTGGCATTGTTATCCTCGGGCAAATGGTGGTGGCATTATGCCTACCAGGAAAGCCACTTGTGGCAAACAATTGTTAGGCAAAAGTATCAAAGGACACCATTAGCTGGTCGCCAAGTTCCAACCCAACTGCAAGGTGTTTGGGATCATGGCACTCTATTTGGGCCAGCATCGACCAGTTCAAGAAAAATTTTCTCGCGTTGGAGCGAGAGAGGGTGATTAAGTATTTAGATCATTTGGATACCTTCCCCATTGGCGACCTACTTTCCAACTGCAAGGTTTTTGGGATCATGGCACACTATTTGGGCCAGCATCGACCAGTTCAAGAAAAACATTCTCGCACCAATGCGAGAGGGTGATTAAGTATTTAGAATGACCTATGGCTTGGTGACTCTTCCTCAGGGAATCACTTCCGATATCTTTTTCTATCCAAGAAACAGTAATGGTTCACACATTTCATTATTGGAATTCAAGAATATGGGTGCCCAATTTTCAGGAGAGCCTTGCGGGAACACGAGCAATCGGAATTTGCTGCTCTCTCATCCCTCCTGCAGGCCACCTACTTTCCAGCACGGGACCCTGATTAAATCATTTGGATACCTTTCCCATTGGGGATTTTTATTATGTCATCTTTCTACGTTCTCCCTAATGCTTGCCAAAAGAGCATGACTGTATCCCCCCCATCCAACCCCCCCTTGTCTCTTCTGGTGGCCCAAAAATTCAAACCTTTAGCTGGCTTGCCATCTCAAAATGAACACTCAGTAGACCAATTACAAAAGGGGTATTTCACTTCGCCAATGATGTATTATGTGCAAAATGAGAGAGGAAACTGAAAGACAGCTTTTTGTACACTGTAAAGTGGCTGGTTCTCTGTGTGCTGACCTGCTACAAATGTTTCAGTGGCCTTGGGTACTTCTGCAATCCATTCCACACCATTTTCAGGCACCCCTATCTTCACCATCCATTGCTGCCTGTCGTTCTCTATTGCATGCTTTAGTAGCAGCAACTATTTGGGTGCTGTGGACTGAAAGTAATACTCAAAGTTTTGATAAGAAAAGAGGGATACCAAGATCCTTCAAGATCACACCAAATCATTGGTAATCTATTGGGCAAAGAATACCAAACACTTCAAATTCTACACCAACACAGGTTTCTGTGAATATTGTTACAAGAAGGTCACCACAAGCTTCTCGCTTGTCCATTTGAAGACCGCTGGAATTAGGCCAAATCAAACTAAAATTCGATGCTTGCCATCTTAGCAACCCAGGGCGCATGGGTTATGGTGGTCTTTTTAGAGGGCATGCAGGGAACATCAGTGCGTGCATTTCTCTTGCCCATAGAGGGGTCAAGACGCAGCCACGCACCGGCGGCTGCCTCAAGTGCCCCCTGAACCATGTGAAATGGTCGCCTATTACCACACAGCTCACTAACTCTGCCTGGGGTAGTAAGAAACTTTACCCTTCGTACTGTGGTTTCATTTGGTACACTGATTGCACTATGGTTGAAACCGTGGCCCGTGGCCCTATTGGGGGGGGGGGGAGATAAAATGATTTAATCAGGATTGGGCCGTCTTTTTTTATTAAAGGAGACTCCAAAATTGTGATATTTTGGAAATCCGGTCTTGTCTGCACCCCTGCCCATGGCACCTTGAACCTATTTTTGACCAGATACTCGACCTATGGAGACATATTCAAACCACCTTTCAGCATATGTGGTGGGAGGCAAACTCAGTGGCTGAGTCCCTAGCCAAACAAGGCGCTACTGGGGGCAATGTTAATGGAACTGTTTTGGCAATTTTTAGCGATGGGTTTCAGTATTTTTTTTTTTTGCTTTTAATTTTGGTTTTTACTTTAATTTTTTGAGGGTAAGGAGCATGTAAGGGTGCTTCTCATTTTTTGTCATGTATAGAGCACCTGACTTGTGGATTGCCACTCTTTTGCTTTTACCTCTGACACCTACGTCCTTAGCTCAATAATACTATTGATTTTTTACAAAAACAAGTTTGGACACATTATGAGTCTGGATAAGTATATGTAAGATGACCCTACCTAAGCCTGGGTTTAGAAATGCAACATATAGTTTACTTCATCCAAGCTCTATGTCAAATGATCTGCTTATCTTGCAAAAGCCTTTTGGTGCTTATGTATCTTTTAACCACATATCTATATGTTGCCTAAGCTGAGTTCTTTACAGATTCCCTGAGACCCCATCGTACAATAGTAAATTGCAAGATTTGTGGCTTGTGCATTTCAGTTGGAGATGGACTAACTGAAAATAACAATTTTTTGTCATGTTATTTGGGTGTGAGCCATCATTTTGTGTGTGTGCCTGCATGGAACATTGCGTTGTGACAAGGATGTTATCTGTCATCCATTCGGGTTTCAATCACCCACTGCCTTGTTCTTTTGTAGTTGAAGTAACCAAGATTACCTATGATACCCTATTTAGTGCATCCTTCATAAATTTTAGGGATAAGAATGAGATATATGCACATTTTTTGCTATTTAATCAGCAAAATCGTAGGATCATTGATCGTTATTTTGATCCTTCTGGGTTGATCCCATCGTTTTGAGCTTGTGTTCCAGAACTGCAGCAATGCTGAGTATGTTAGTGGCTGACCAAAAGTCCTTCCAGTTCTAGATTTGGTTTATGTCAGAAGTCGCTTGTTGGATTGTAGATATTGTCATAGCTAACTAATCAAGTCAACACTAACAGATTGTCATAACGTATTTCTGTTTCAGTAAAATATAATCTTCTATTGCAAGAGTAATTGGGAACTACACTAACTTTCCCTCCTTTATTATTCGTTTGATCAACTTTTGTGAATGTATGTAATTTTGCCAAACTTGTGACCATAAAATTGAGGCATTCAATATCTTATTGCTTGCAATGTTCCTCGTAGGTGGAAGTCAAGAGGGATCAGCCACAGCATGAAGTCCGTATATTTTCGGATGCAGGAAGAATCCTGAGGCCTCTTTTGATTGTGGAGAATAATAAGCTGTGTGTGTCCTTGGAACAAATAAATGAGTTCATCAAAAAGGGATGTCCATTCCAATATCTTTTGGACAAGAGAATCGTAGAATTCATTGGCGTGGAAGAGGAAGAGGATTGCCTAATTGCCTGGGGTGTCAAGCATCTACTGTCAGATGAGAAAAACCAGCCTGCTCAAAAATATACTCACTGCGAATTGGATCTTTCCTTCTTGTTGGGCTTAAGTTGCGGTATGATTCCCTTTGCCAATCACAATATGGCGAGACGAGTTCTTTTCCAATCAGAGAAGCACTCCCAACAAGCTATTGGTTTTTTCACATCAAATCCAAATAACAGGGTGGATACTCTCTCTCACCGGCTCTATTACCCTCAGAAACCTCTTTTCAAGACAATGCTTTCGGAGTGCATTGGGATCCCAGAGTTTCACAATGGTCAAAATGCAATTGTGGCTGTGAATGTTCATGAAGGTTACAATCAGGAGGACTCCATTGTTATGAACCGTGCTTCATTAGATAGAGGAATGTTCCGGACAGAAATTCATCGTAGTTATAAAGCTGATATCCCAGTTGACGACTCTGTGCAACGTGTCAAGCGTAAGGAAAATGAATATTTTGGCAAGCCTATTAATGGATTTGGGAAAATAGATAGTCTCGATGATGAAGGGCTACCATATATTGGTGCGAGTATGAAAGAAGGTGACATCATCATTGGAAGGTATGTGGATTCAGCATCAGATCGCAGCATCAAGCTGAAACACACTGAAAAGGGGATAGTTCAGAAGGTTGTGTTGTCAGCAAATGATGAGAATAAGCTTGCCGTTGTGCAATTGAGACAGGTAAAAGTCATCCATGTTATTGTATTTTCTTGATTTTACCGAAGCTCATAGTGATTTCTATATTTTTTTTTGCAAAGGTGATTGAATCGAAATGCCCTTCTGTGATGCTTCCTTAGATGTCACTGGAATCAGTAACTTTGCAGTGTGGGCTACCCTTCTGAGTTGAAATTGTGATTTTTTTTTATTTACTCTCTCCTAATATTTTCTACTCCATTTCAGATTAGCCAACTTCCTAGTTTTTTGTGTTGTACATTCTTATTGATTTTTAAAATACACAGATTGTTTAAGTTTCCAATTTGTATCTTTAGTTTTTATGTTTATTTGGCTCAGTAAGACTAATTAAAGATCTAAGATTATATGTAGACACCTGATTAGGTCTTTTGAATCTGCTTGCACTTTGCAAGTTTTGAATATTGGGTCTGATTTTTGGTAGTAAATATTTCTTAAGCCATTTAGAGGTGTACATTATTTTTAAGAGCCTTATATGAATTGCTTAATCATTTAGAACTATGTTCTTTTAAAATTCCTTATATCACATCTTAATCATATTGAATAATAGCTTAAATAACCTTCGTTGCCTCTGACACTCCCAATCTGTTCAGAAATGGATATCACATCCTAGTCTTCAATAATATTTTACAAAATAGATATTTTCTTAGTTAAATTTCAAAAAACAAAAAGGAGAAGTTTTTTCCCCTCACTACAACAATATGGCCATTGTACACCTATTTGGAGTAACTTTTTATTATGGTAAATTGTTTGATGTGGGCAGGCTCGCATGCCATCTGCGCCGTCCAAATTAGTTGGACGGTGGTGATTGCAGGGACATGGTGTATATTGACATCTACGCCCGCATGCCATCTATGCTGTCCAACTTAGTTGGATGGTGCAGATTGCTCCATGTTCCTGTAATCTCCACCGTCCAACTAAGTCGGACGGCGTAGATGGCATGTGGGCATATGGGGCTGCCTGCATGGAAACCATGTCCTGTTATTATTACTTTTGGATTTTATGTGTGGTATTCCGAGATGTATAGTTCAGTTCATTTCTTGATGTCCTTTACCTTTTGGTTTGCATGTCTCTGTGTTTGATATTTCTGAAGTTTTTGTCATTTTCTTTATTTCTGTTCTAAACAAGTCACTTAACGAAGATTTTTCTTGCCAGTTTCAAAGTTTACGTTCCAACATTTTCTGTTAACTTTTCAAAGCTTCAGATAGACTGAAATCAATTAGCTGTAAATTAATTCACGTTTCCTGCATATACCCATCTAAATTGGTCACTTTCAGGCCTCCTTTTGTATGATGAATTTGAGCAACTCCTCAAGAAAGTAGTCATTTTACCCCTCTGAATTACACTACATTGAATAGGGACCACGACTATACTCCAACCGAAATATGAAAAATCATTTTCCATTCAGGCCATCATCATCCAGAGCATGACACGTGTTCAGGCAGTTCCCCTCTTTGAGTCTCCATCATCATCCATCATTTCATTGGATGGAGATCACCTTTGGACTTTGGCTTTTCATTGTCCTTATATTTGGTATAATTTCCCTACCAAATGCAGATATGATTTCTAAAGAAATGCTTTTGCCAAAATCCATGCAATCTGTAGAAAAGCGGCCCAACCAGCGCCCAGGCTGGTGCCAAGGTGCGCAAGGGGCCTTAGGCACCTCGCCTACACCTGGGTGGAATGTCTGGGTGCCAGTTCCTCGTGCCCACCTAGGCGAGTGCCCAGTGCCCAGCCCTGGGCTCGTGCTGCTCTGGGCGCTAGGGCCTGAGCCCTTTTTACAGTAATTACTTTGCCTCTGAGGGCATGTAGGGTCTTTCTGGCGCATGAAAAGAAGGGGAGAAAAGGGTGTTTGGGGGGCATCCTAACCCCCCCAAAGTGAAGAACCTCAATCTCCCTAAAAGTAAACGAAGATGATGATTAAATTGTTGATTTGAAGAATCAAATCTCTTCTTTCTTTTCTTTTGTATTGCATTTATCTTTTATGGATTTTATACCATAAGACCACTTTTGGTAGGAGGTCATAATGACTCTTTGCCATTGGCTATGAATTCCAGCAGGCTGAAGGGTATCATAACATTCGAGAAATTTTAATTTGGACTTTGTGCCCTGTCAATGGCACAATCCCAACCACCGGATTTCACATCTAACAGTCAACTATAATTGTGACCTCCTTTTACCAAAAGTATATTGTTTCATTGGTTGTCTTATTTTATACATTTCCTATCTTTTATATTGCATCATTTTGTATTGTTCTTCATATGGACTTTTTCATATTTTTCACTGTTTCAGTTATTCAAAGAATCAAAATTTTCAATGATTTGTAGTTATATATTTTTCACAGTTTCAGTTATTCAAAGAGTCAAAATTTTCAGTGATTTGTAGTTTTGAATATGTTTCAATATTGATGCATGTATATTTGCATAAAAAAGTTAGGATTTATATAGGAATGGGCTCAAGGTTAGGTAGTTGGAGTGGCGGGGAGCCGCAACATGGCGTCTTGAGTTCTATTCCTTTTACGGGTACGGGATCCCATCCCTATTGAACTACCCAAAAAAAAGTTAGAATACCTATAAATGTTGAAAAATACAAAATTGACACAAATATCTGCATATATTTGCATTTGGACGGCACAAATATGCATATTTTTGAACTGTCATCTCAGGGCATCTGCCCGGGCACCGCCACACTAGGTGCCCTTGGCCAGGCTGTGCTCCTAGGGGCTGCCTAGCGTTTTTTGCAACCTTGAATCCATGATGTATAGTTGTTTAGTGTTGACCATAACATTACCATAGAGTACCTCTGAGTACGTCATATTCCCTTGCTAGTAGTATAATAGCATGCTTTTCAATTTTATGGGCTATTGACATCTCTGCTAGGATTATGTAGGTTCGAACCCCATGTCTTGGGGACAAATTCTCAAGCATGCATGGCCAAAAGGGTGTGGTGGGTTTCATTGAGGCCCAGGAAAATTTTCCATTCACACGCCAAGGAATTGTCCCTGACATAGTGATAAACCCCCATGCATTCCCAACGAGGCAGACTGCTGGTCAGCTTCTTGAATGTGCTTTGGGAAAAGGCATCTGTTGTACTAGAGAGGAGAATGTAAAAGACAACCCCAAAGACAAGAGCAAAACGGGAAGAAAGAAAGCCGAGACTCCTGAACGTTTGAAGTATGCAACCCCTTTCTCAACTGCCTCTTTTGACGACATTACCGATCAGCTTCAAAGGTCAGTTTTTTAAATACTAGTTTAGTTGCATGCCTGCTGTATTTTCAGTAAAGAACTCTGGGGCATAGTATTAATCAAATGACCATGAAAAAGCCATAGGCCATGGGGATGTTGCCATCCATTAAAATGGAGTAAGATAGAGAGTAAGACTCACCAGAACAAGACATAACTTTGGTGGTGTCCCACTCCCTAACACTGTCCATTTCAATGATGGGTCTCTCTTATTGTTTGTATTATAGTGTAGAGTTGTAACCCCGTGCTGGTCCTGCCTAAGCAGGGTCCGGGGGGGGTGGGCTGGAAACGGTCCTAACCTTCGGTTTATGCACAAAGTGGCCGTTCTCAAGACTCGAACCCGCGCTCTTGTCTTGGCTACCCAATCCTTTAACCGTCACACCAGGTGACAGCCCCTATTTATTGTATTATAGTGTAATTTCTCTAAATTCATATACTTCTGTTGTTTCTAAATAGCACAGATATTTTTCATAAAATAATGGGATATATTTCTACCTGATCTTCCTCAATAATTTTTTAATGTGGTTGGCTTCCTCAAATAGGTTAAAATGCTTCAATATAATTGGTAAAGAAAATCTCGTATTCTTGGTTCGATGGTGTATTATTGTGTGGCTGGAACTTTCAATTTGACATGATGTGCATAAAACAACGCAGGTATGGATTTTCTAGATGGGGTACAGAGAGAGTTTATAGTGGAAGAACAGGTGAGATGCAGAAGAGCCTCATATTCATAGGGCCTACATTTTACCAGAGGCTGGTTCACATGGCTGAGGACAAGATGAAGTTTCGAAACACAGGGCCGGTGCATCCTTTGACCAGGCAACCAGTGGCTGATAGAAAGAGGTTTGGAGGGGTAAAATTTGGAGAAATGGAGCGAGATTGCCTTATAGCTCATGGAGCAGCGGCCAATCTTCATGAAAGGCTCTTTGTTCTAAGTGATTTCTCTCATATGTTTGTGTGCACAAAGTGTTCCAATATGGCAAATGTGACAATACGAACTGTCGCAAATAGGAGAGAGAGAGGTCCATTTTGCCGGTTTTGCAAATCAGCTGAGAAAATTGTGAAGATCAATGTGCCTTATGGTGCCAAATTGCTATACCAAGAGCTTTTCAGCATGGGGATAGTGCTCAGGTTTGAGACTGAGCCATGCTGAGCTTCTGTGGTGAATGGAAGTGTTTGGAGGAGCTAGCTTTTGGGGTTTTATTTTGTGAATATGGAAGGTTTTTGGGCTCTTGTTGAAACTTGATGATTTGGGAGGTTTGATGTGGGCAAGTAAAGTTTATGGGAGATGGAGATTTTTATTTTGGGGTTGTGCAGGCCCCACCAATAGTGTTTCTGACGTTGTAAATATGTCAAATCTTGGTGTTGCTTGATGGTCCCTTTGTTTATTATCTCATATTTTTATAATACTCTCTCTCTCTCTCTCTCTCTCGGTTGGTCTGCATGATGATGATAAAGGGCCCATTGCATTCCCAGAAAATCTCTGCAGACTACAAAAATGAAGATACATTGGGTTAGTAGTTTTGGAGGATTTGATCCTACAATAAGGAAAATTCTTGCATTTGGTTATATTGAACGTAGTCGAGAATGATAAAAAATCCCCATGAAACAAGAATTATACCCATAAAATATAATCCATGGTATAAGATTATAATTGGGACAATTGCAATAGGAAATGTAAAAATTTGTCTAGATTGCGCGGGAAACTAGTTGAAAGTCATTTAATTACGAGGCTTGCAGCATCTTGCAAGTGTCTTTAAAGCAGCCATGGTGTGCGGCAAACAAATTAGCAGATGCTTTGGTAAAGATGGGGCAGTTAGTAATGTATTTATAGTATTGTATGCACCAGTCCTAGGAAACAGTTACCTCTTTTTGCATAAACTCTTCCTTTTTGTTCTTGTCCATTTTTCAAACAGATATCAATACCTGTAAATTTCTTCACCATTAATACAAAATGCTGACTTCCCCAAGATGTTTAGTTCCCATTTTATGGTTTAAAAGTTTGAAAAAGTAAACCAAAACTGTAGGCTTAATCTCACACACGTTTTGCGATCCACCCCAAAACATGCCAACAATATTGGAATAAAAAAGAATAGTAAGAACAGTCCATCCCAAAACATGCCAACAATATTGGAATAAAAAAGAATTGTAAGAACAACAGTCTGCGTAGCAGAAATGGGTTAACTTTTTCTCTTAATAAAACAAAATAATCACTCATGATGTTCTTTGGATTAAATAAGTAACCAAGCTTTCAGGTACTGTCTTGTCATGAAATGAAACACACGATAGGAAAAGCCTGTGTACATTACATGAGCAATTCAGGAGAAAATGTAACTACGGGATACATTTACTGAAGCCTTCATAACAGTAGGCCAACATTTTGTTCCTCTAAACTCATTGACCTCAGTGATGAGTTTTCGAAATCAGTCAAGAATCATCTATGAACAATAAATTTTCACAAAAATAATGATAAGACAGTTTAGCAACTATTTTTTATTTATTTTTAACTGTTTGGGTTTGGGAAATTATCTGCAACTGTCACTCGGGATAAGAAAATCTCAAATCCAAACACATAAACGCATGTTTCATTCCCATATTGATAACAACGTTCATGGTTCCCATCCACAAGGAACCATATGACAACAAAAAACATCACACTGTAACTTCTAACACAACAAAAAACAATGGATAAAAATACACATGAGGCATTGAGGATGTTCAGTTTGTTCATATCCCTGCCCACGAGACTCCAGAAACAATCTACAAAAAGAATTTTTTTTTAAAAAAAAAAAAAAGAATAAAAAAAAAAAGAAAGAAAAAAACAGGCCTCAAGAAAGATAAGCCCCATGATATATAGCTCTTGATCTGAACCATACAAGGTTTCAGTTTCCATCCTTTTCAACTAAAAGGAAGAAAGAAAAAAAAAAGTAAGAAGGGTGGGAACCCAAGTTCCGGTATTTTCTTCAATAATGGAATTTTGCCACAAACTGCATAGAACACAGTGATGACAACCTGTAGAAACTAGGCCATTCAAGGAGTATGCTTGCTTCCCAAGCATTGTTGAGACATTGCAAACACTAAAATTCATGACAAAAGAATCAAGGGAACACCTTGAGCTCCATAGTTCCTGCTTAAGGATCTCACATGAACATCTCAATGGACATGACCAAATGAATGTTAACTCATCATATATTTATGGGAAGTTCAAATTTAGCTGATCCCAGTTGCAATGCTCGAGGTTGAATAAATCTTCAGCGACTGCTCAGGGATATAGGTAATACCTGTTAAGGACCACCTTTACATTTTAGACTCTAAACAAAAAGAGAAAGTAAACGAGTTTTGAGTTTAGATTTGGGGACCGTTTTCGGAGCAGGGTTGATTCTAAATAGAATACTAATGGTAAAGGGTGGACTTCGGGTATTTAATATTGAGGCCAGTTTCAGGGATGTAAGATGCAGTTAACCATGTACTAGTTCATGTTCATCAGTCTGTTTCCAAAAAGGATTAGATTAACCTCGCAATGAAAAAGACATGGAGTTTGGGATCTTGACCTCAGAATTTAGGCATCTGACTTATATGGATTCGGACCAAGGAATCATAAAAACTTCCTTCAATACTGGTATGAGCAGAAGCGTACCTTTTTCTTTGACGGCAACCTGAAGTGTGTCAAGCGTTATGATCCCATCAGTCAATGGAAGCAACTCAAGCCGGACAGTGGCCGTTGATTGTGAGGGAACATATCTGGATTATGCAAATCAAAACCCCCTTAAGGCCCATTATTTGAAGTCCACTCTAACACCCATTAGTTTTATAACTAAATCCACTTAGAAACCATTAATTCCAGCTCAGAAGCAAAATATTTAAAACTCAGAAGAAAGGTAACAAGTTATCAATAATTTAAAAAAAAATGATATGATCCATATGGTCATAGTAACAACCATGTGGGTTTTCACTGTCCTATCAATTGATTAGATATGATGGAGTGATGGAGAGAAAGCGAGGTCCTAAAATTCATTAACTGAAACTGCATGGTGGGACCCAGTCCCTCCTGCACCTTCCAATCGAATGATGGGACAGCGATAAACTCTTGGGCGGCACAAAGTCATTATGTCATATACTATGGAGGCCTAAGGTGTATGTGTTTCAGTCAACACCAGGAAATATTGACCAACCCCATTTTACAGTGAACCATAAAAAAAATTTAAAAAAAGAGAAAACAAATCAGAGTTGAAGCAGCAGCATGTTACCCAAGAGGAATAGTACTCTGCAACCAAAGATGTGTACACGACAAACTGGTGTTAGCAATGCAGTCTGAAGTGGGGATTATCGGTTCTCTTAGAGAAAGTGATCTATTTCCTCCATCACTCTCTTTCTGCTTCACAGAAACTAATGGTACCGTATCATATCTACTCAAGCTTGAGATTTCTTGCTCCCAATCCTTTAGGTCAGATGCACCCATCGGAGTGGATGGTGCAGAATTTAAGGATATCACTGATGGAGGCGAAGTAAATGATGCTGGGGCAAGAACTGTCAATGTTAGATCTTCTGAAGTCAGGTTTGATGCCTGAAGGGTCAATACCTATGCATTTTAGAAAGCAAAAGCCCAGTTAGAGAATCAAGAAAGACTTATTCACAATTCCAAATGATCAAAAACAAAATCACACGCAACAGACCCAGGGGCCAAAATAACAAGTTACAGGAATTTTGTTTTTCCCCAAACTTACCAGTCATATTTATCGATCACAAAATTGATTTAAGCTCGAGAAATGCTCCAAATCAATTTCCACAACTTGAAAGACTCTGGACTATCCATTTGTTGGATGATCTAGGGTTTCAAGATCTCAAAACCTCTTCTTTTTTATTTTTAATTAGTCACAAGGTGAATAAAAAATGATTTGAAAAAATTCCATCTGAAAAATGATCCTGTGTATTTTTAATGCACACGATTAGAGTGATTTTAGCCCCTGGTTTTGAGATAAAAAATACTCCTCGAGATTGTTACCAGCTTTTACCAGTAACCCACTCAACAATGCACTTCTATTTATGACTTTACAGTTTCACTTTTCCCATCCTGTACCCCAACGCGATAAAGCCCCTTCACACTCTTCTCTCTCTGCCTCGAGCTTTATTCGAGCCCACTTCTCTCTCTGCCTCAAGCCTTATTCGAGCCCACTTCTCTCTCTATTTATAATCTCTGCCACAAACCTCCTCTCTCTCCTCCCTACCCTCTTCTCCTAATTAAACCACTTCTCACTCTTCTCTCCCACAGCCACAACAAATGTCTCACTTTCATTTTCTCCTACTAGTTATAAAAACTCAGGAGCACCTCTCTCTCTCTCTCTCTCTCTCTCTCTCTCTATGTACCCCTCTGATCCCATGTAATATGTATATATTTTTGCAAAAGCATTTTTGTAACGTTTTCTTGTGTTAGAATAAACAGCAGAAGGGGCCAAGCTGCAGATTTTAAAAGAAGTATTGAAATAATCGTGAAATCCAAAGACTCTCAGAGAAGCAATGGAAAGGGATCACTTGCAACGAGAGATGGGGGTGGCACTAGTAGGAGGGAACTTTTATAGGAGGGATGGGACTGTTTCTGACATTGCTCTCTCCACTGATGCTTCTACTTCTTTGAATGTCAATTTCTTTCACAACAAGAAGATGATATTCGTTGTCATTTACGAAAGCATTCATTTGATAACCACAAAACACACGCCATTCAACCAAAACCATACACAGACCAAGTTCCTCCACTACTCCTACACACAAAAACACGCTATGAAGAGCCCAAACCCATCTCTATCTCTCTCTGAAACACCCATCTCTCTCTAGCTGACCTCATATTTCTTCTCGAGGACGGCCACAAAGTCTGAGATCTCAAGGTATTGTGAGGACTTGGGAACACACTCATTCTCTATGCAATCTTTAGCCCAAGCATCAATTTTGGGCAAAAGCCCATTTCTCTCTCTCTCTCTCTCGGAAAATACACATCATCATCAGAACCTTTTTCCAACTAATTGGGGTTGCTTACACGAATCTCGGTCCGTCATTTTGCTCTATCAAGGACATCCCTCAATGAGTCCATACGTCCCCATATATTTTCTCATTACTTCTAACTATGTTCTTTTGGGCCTACCCTTTGCCATTTTTTAACCTTCCACTTGAACTAACTCGCACCTCTTAACAGGTGTTGTATTGGGTCTAAACTATACATGGCTAGCCCACCTAAGTTTACTTTCTCTCATCTTATCGTCTATTAGTGCCACACCTAAATTCTCCCGAATGTATTATTTCGAATTCTATCACTTCTTATATTTCCACTAATCCATATCAAAATCCTCATCTCAACTACACTAATTCTATGAATATGTTGTTTCTTGACTCCCCAATATTCCTCCCTATAAAGCAAAGTTGGTCTCACGGTTGTCCTATAGAACTTCTCCTTCAGCTTCATCGGTTCGCGGTGATCACATGGAACTCCGGTTGCACATCTCCAGTTCGTCCACTCAACTCTAATTCTATGTGAGACATCTTCCTCAACGTTTTCATTTTTCTAGTTATCGACCCAACCAGTTATCGACCCAAGATATCGAAAGTGCACTCTTTTTAGTATTTCTTGGCGGTCAATCTTAACTACTTTTTTGTCTCTACTTCTATTATTATTAAACTTGCATTCCTTATACTCTCTATCTTAGTCCGGTTAATTTTAAAACCTTTCGATTAGAGTTGATCTTTGAGTTTAAAATTTTATAATTAGACATGAAAATAGATTTTTCCAAATAATTGTTTATACCAAAATTACATGTTATGACAAAATTTGGAGGTGCGCCTTAATTGGATTGTTTAAGGTTGCAACCTTATAGAAACCGCACCCATAAAAATATCCTTATGAGGCCTATATCCAACCATCTCACTAAAATGGATGGCTTACATTAATTGGGCTAGAAAAACACTTTTTGGGTGTTTCTTCAAAATTTTCTTTTTGTGATTGTTCTTTAGAATGAAAAGAGTATACATTTAAAAATTCGTGTCAAACAAATGTCTATAACATGATTTTTCAATGTCGTTGCATCATACTACTATACAACCGTTGCATGAAATCATTGCCATATATATATATATATAGAAAAACCTAAAAAACGCCTATAGGCAAAGTGCTACAGAGCTTCGCCACGACCACGGACATAGCAAGTCTGTGGCGGTTTATTGAAAAGAATTGCAACGGACGACACCCCTATAGGCGAACTGCTATAGTGTTTCGCCACCGCCACGGACATAGCAAGTCCGCGGCGGTTCATTGAACAGAATCGCAACAGACACCGCGTCCGTTGCGGTTTTCGCATTTTTTTGGACCATCTGTGGTGGTTGAAAAAAGCACGCCGTCTGATTTTTTTGGATGGCAATGGGCATATGGGCGAAATCACTATAGCATTTTGCCCATAGGCGTTGTGTAGATGCTTCCTATATATATATATATACATATATATATTCATTGAACAGAACCGCAACGGACGCGGTGTCATCCATTGCGGTTTCTACATTTTTTTTGAACCATCTGTGGTGGTCGAAAAACACACGCCGTCTGATTTTTTTGAATGGCGATTGGCCTATGGGCAAAATCACTATAGCATTTCGCCCATAGGCATTGCGCAGATGCTTATTATATATATATATATATATGAAAAATGCTGAGATTAGCCCACTAGCTCATATGAACATATGAGCCCAACGGTCCAGATTGAATCTGGGCCAATCTAACAGTCACGACCTTATTTCATATTTTAATTTTAA